CCACAGTTTCTTTAGAAACTTTCAGCCTTTATTCAATACCTAAAACATCATGCCAGTAAGTGTGGAGCGCTCAGGAGTGACACTACTCGGTAGCAATAAGCCTGTGGAGCCACTGCTCAGTGTTTGGTTGGTAAAAGTTAGAGCTTCTATCCTTAAATTTTTACAGCACCGGGAGGCTTGGGAGAGAAATAAATATGTATCAAAGGGGTGAGTGACAGTCAAAGGAAGGAGACGGAAGGGGAAGGCAGTTGAAATCACACCGTCTTCTCGTCTTGCGTTACCGAATGACTTAGCACCCAAATACTAGAAAACAGTTGGTTTTGCATAATAAGCGGAACAGAATAACAAAGAGCTTTTATGACATACCCTGTTATTATTTAGCAGTGGTGTGAGGCGATAGACTTTTGATAAGGTTCCACTCTGTCCCACAGGAAAACCATCTCTATATGAATAATAAGGTACGTAAGGTAAAGTCTGTTTACGAGCCTAGTAGCCCATTAGGCCGTTGCTTAACTCCGGTTTCTGTAGCATAAAGCGACTAGGAGTATTTCTACTCCCCCCTAGATGGGATGCCAGTCCATCGCAGGGTTACCCCCAGCATTAAATTGCCGGTACCCATTTACACACCTGGGTGAAGAGAGGCACTGTGAGAGTAAAGTGTCTTGCCTAAGAACACAACACAATGTCCCGGCCGGGGCTCGAACCGAACCACTCGATCCGGAGTCGAGCGCACCAACCATGAGGCCACCACGCCTCCGTATAAAGAATAAAGAGAGAGACAATTAAATCTACATTTTTCACATTCATTCCTATAACCTGTGGGAAAGCAAAGTTCCACTGTACATTGGATAAACCCTGTAACTCTAAGAGTACCTGGCTTCTATACTTCCTTTCTGTAATCATCCTCGCATCACACGTAAAAGTCATGAGGATAAAGGAGATAATCACCAATTTAAGAAGCTTCTGATTGTCAAACAAATTCTCCTTGTCAATACCATAGGAAATGTAAAGAGAAACCTAAGGAGAATACGAATTTTAATGTTTGGGTGTGAAGGGTCAAGCTGATCAATTCGCTGATCAATTCGCTGATCAATTCACTGGCAGAGGATCACTAGTGCGTGTCCCAAAAGAATGATTAGTTTTGTAAACTAAGGCCTGGAACTAACACGAGTTCTCTATCACCTTGTTGTTGTGGTTTGCATCTCGATGAGAGAGACAGATTTTTCTTCCCCTCCCATAAGTAACAGATATTCAATTTCTCTCTTAAAGCCATGTTTTTTGATGCAATACATGATGATTTTCAAATGTAACCAGAATTTATTCTCGACTTTTGATTTGGTACTTACTCAGATTCTAACGATGCCACAGGACACTTGTATTGTGCAGTTGAAAATAAGCAGATGTCAGCAAACTGTCGTACTACAAGAGATTGACCCGATTTTAGGCTAACAGAATAAACAGGGCTTTCTAAGAATTCCACAATGTAAACACAGGTGTGTATTGAAAAGACGAGAACACTGCATTGCTCATAACACTTGGAGAAATCTGTCTCTGAAAGAAAGTGGATATGAAGTATGCATTGTGAAAAAAAAAGGCATACAAAAAGAAAGAAAGAATGAAACAAACAAAATTATATCTTGGAGTTTCTCTTTTTGGACTGCCTTACTTGTAACTTTAATTTTCTTGCATGTCCTGGAAGAACTATTTGCAATATGTACATTAACTCCAATCTCCTCCCCATGGTAATACATCTATAAAAGAGTAAAAAGATATCAGACTTAGTATTTCCTATGTCCATATCTGTATAAGATTCACCTCACTGCAATTGCAAGAGGAGGGTGGAATCTGCATCATAACTCCCCCCCCACACCTCTATATACACATTTCTGCCACTTAAGGCAAATTCCACCCCTTCACCCCCCTGCAGTCCCACAAATTCCACCCTTTCACCCCCCTGCAGTCCCACAAATTCCACCCTTTCACCCCCCCGCAGTCCCACAAATTCCACCCTTTCACTCCCCCTGCAGTCCCACAAATTCCACCCTTTCACTCTCCCTGCAGTCCCACAAATTCCACCCTTTCACCCCCCTGCAGTCCCACAAATTCCACCCTTTCACCCCCCTTGCAGTCCCAAAAATTTTTCTCCTTTCCCCATCTTCATCTGTACCAACATCACTCACCTGTCACCCCCCTCAACAGCATAACCTCCCCTTCCCACCCCCCAGCCTATGGCACTTCCTGCCACACCCTCTGTGCCTCTAAAAATAAATATTCAATTTACCTCTTTGTCCAAAGAAGCTTCAATGTGGAGCTTGTGGGTGCTAAGCATGAATTCCTTTTCTGTTTCTGCCTGAGGCTGTGGAATAAAATTCAACGCAAACATAGATAATGTTACTGCTGAAAGGATACAGCACACACAAATAAGTGGCTCCCAAAATTGATTCAACAACATGTATACAATCAGAGTGCTTGGCAAGGGCCCAAATAGTGATGTTCTGTCACCTTCCCTTACCTGAGGCAAAGGTCGCTCTGGTGCATAGGTAATCTTTCTGATGGCCAGTCGTACTGTGTCTCTAAAATCAAATGATAAAAATGATCACTGAGAACAACAAAGAAATGCAGCTTGCACCTTAAGGGAGATTTTTGGAATTGTGAGTAACAATAAGAAGATGTTTAAGTGCTGTAAACTATCTATAGAAAACAAACTTACCTTTTGTGTGGTTTTTCTTCCATAGATTCACTGATGTAAGTTTTAAGTTCATAGTCCACTCCACAAGGCTGAAAATACATCAAGCAGTTGTTTCAATGAATGCAATAAAGAAATGATCCATGCTATTTTTGGAAAAAACACATTCATTCAGCAACTTCAATTCATTTTGACTACATAAATTATCCAAAGCTAGATGAATGTACCTCTACATGTTACAAAGTTAACCTAAAGAAAGACTGTTTGACCAGCATGGTTATGCATACCTTGCCAGTGTCTCCTGGAGCTGGTTGCAGTGTTACAGATGAAGGAGACCCTGGGGGCAACTAACAAGAATCACAAAAAATGCAATTAGACAAAGGCACTTCTCTGCTAGTTGGTGTGAAAATGTCTTTTTTTTTTTAATTGTAGGTGTATCATTTGATGAATAGTTACTTCCTTCACCAGAAGGCTACTTTTAATTACTGTGTGCCACATTTCTTTTGCATTGTCGTCTTTTGATATGGGTACATAATTTCATATTTGCTCAATTAAGCAATAGATTACACTTTCTATCCATTTGCTGGCATAATGATCCATGTAGGATCTTGGGAAAATGTAAGAAAAGTTAATTGTAAATCATGTTTGGGAAGCCAGTGATCTACAACTTGTGATTTAACTTTTCAATTAGTGTCTCAGTTATTTTATAAATTAAAATGTCTATCTGACTGTCCACAACATCCTTCCTGGAGTGACACAGTCAGATTAATAAAGGTGTCTATGAAAGAAACTTTAATGATAGGGTGTGTAAAAAAAGCCCTCAGTGACTTATGCTAGACAACTAGAATCTCCTTTAAAATTTTTCTGTATATTTCCTTTGTAAAATACATGGAGAAGTTGGCATTGTAAAACAAGTCACTTAGTCTCAAGGTTTCATTCAGACCCTCAAACATTTTAACTATTAGGATCAAACTGTAGCCAGCAAAAGGGCAGCAAATTAGATTCGGAATAAATTCTACATTCTAAACTAAAAGTTGTCAAATTCACTTCCAGTAACCAAAACTATTTCTTATTAGAACCTTTGCATAAAATATAACTATTGTGAACAAATTAATGAATTGCCTTCAAGGATATTTCAGGGAAAACAAACCTCAAATTTGAATGGATAGGCATTAGACCCGAGTTTTTTAAGAAGCCTCTCTTGAAGCCTTGTAAGCTGCACTGGATCTTCGGTTTTTGGCGGATAAACTTGTGTTGTGGCCTGTGAAAATGAAGAGGGCATAGCATTAAAAAAAAAAAAAACATGGAGATTATTACCATATTTGCAAATACACGTAACAATTGCTGAAAATTTTGGAAGTTGAAATCTTTCACACATTTGGGGCATTGGCAAACCACTACATCACTTACAAGAAATTCAATTAAAAAAACAGGAATAGTGGTGTGAATTGACTTGTCAAAGTTGTAATGCTTCACTGAGGAGCTAAAAATAAAATAATCAATTCAAAAAAAGCTCTCCTATTGAAGTGATAAGATGGCTCATAACAATAATCTAACAACTGTAGGAAAGAAGTTTACATCTCAACAAACCAAAAATAAGTCTTTTCTGAATGTTAGTCCAAGAACATCCAAATCTTCACGTCCATATCTATTGGAAAGATTAAAAACATTGTTCATTAAAAGTTTACAGAAAGACTCCACACGCAAGATGACTTTTTGAAAATATTCAATTTGATAGTTAGTGATCGATTCACCCACAAATTGCTCTACCAACTCTCACTCCTGCATGTTAATGTGAAATTCCACTTTGCACAGTTTGTACAAAACAAATATCAAGAACATTTTGTCAATAAATTAATGCAGAGTCACAAAGTACATTTAAAATAATACAAATGTTAATGACTTACTTAAATGCTGCCAAGACGTGGGCAAACACTGAGTGGAAAAAGAAAGAAATGAATTAAACTTGGATGTTATTCTAATCACTAATGAAAAGTACCATTTTAAATGTTGGAAAATCATTTGGCATGATTCTCTTTGAAAATTTTTAAGGCCCAGTTCAGATGTTGTGCTAAGTGATTCTGACTCAATTGCCATTAGGTTTGATTGTAGCACAGCAAAAACATGACTCTGATTCTTAGTCTGGCTAGAATCATACAAAATTCAGGATTTACTAAAGCCAAGTAACAATTTATTCTTGTGACTTCCCATGTGAGCCAAATCCGGCCTAAATAGTCACTAAGTTAAATATAATTGATGAATTTTGTTTAGCTCAGGAGAGGCACAACGTTTGAATTGCTCTATTACCAGAGTCATGGTTATATACTACAGCAGAGCTTATCAACACTTAATTGCTGGCTGAACTTAATTAAAAATTTTAATTCAGACACCACACTTCTGCTATGCTTTTGTCAAAATTAATTCCTGAATAAAGTTGGACATGGCAAGAGCCAGACGTCATCAGTCACTTACAGCCCTACTCAGAAACATTATTTGGAATCAACATTTATTACAAATTGTGCAATTTTCAAAAATAGTGCTACAGTTTTGGAAACTTTGTCATCAATGCTGTGGTCTAGATTTAAGCTTTTGAAATAATTTGTTACATAAAAAGTGGTGTAATACCTTTTTTCCCATCTTTGACAAACTCTGGATCTATGAGAACAACACCATCTGCAAAATCACAGAAAAAAATTAAAAGTAACTTAGTAAGGAGAATTTGTATAATTGCTCACTAGAGACCTGTGACTATAGAAATGCGTGCGCTCTGATTGGTTGAGAATTGCATCTCATCTTGCCATAATCACCCTGTGTGAGGTGATTATAGCAGGGGTGCTAAATTTCAAATTGGCTGCCTTATGTGTTCTCGATGTTTTTCAGGAATTGATGAATGGGATAAAAAAAAAATTCAATAGAAAAGAGCACAAAAGATGCTACTGGGTTTGGAGGAACACTTTTCAAAAGAAATATATGAAGCTCTTGCTGATTTAATTGAATAAACCTACTTGAACTCCTTGCTTATGTTGATAAGAAAAATCACCATAATTTTAACAAAATCTCTGCAATGCTTTCTTTATTTATAGAATTTAAAACAGAATTTGAAAGAATGAGCAATTATACTACAACAATTAATCACCTCAGGCTCAGTGAACATTATTGAATAATCTTGGGGATTATTCAATCATTTGATACTCAATTCACCTTTGGTGAATAGTTGTTAATTACCAATGAGATTGTAAGAATGAAAGGGTTAAGAAGTAACAGTTGTAGGTTCCAAACGGACATTTCATGATTTTAACATGACGAATCTCTAGTTGTTACCAGGCCGAGTGAGTGATCTTGTCCGACCATGTGTATGATGAATTTTGTTCTGAAGATTGTGAATGTGAATCGTTTTCATTCTATCGATTTCGACGAACATTTTTCAGTTATTTTGAGAAGGAACCCTCAGATTGTAAGTGTTTGACATTTCGATTTATTTAAGCTTTGTATACTTTCATTTTGCTTTATTTTGCTTCGCGTTTGCAAGTTTCAATTGTGTAATTCTACTTTCAGAAACATATTTGTATGCCGTTTATTTGATTAACCTGGATTAAAAGACTCTAAAATTAACCGATTGATTCAGCGGCTACGACAGTCAGGTATCAACTTACCCACAGGATCAATGTGTTCAATGTGGTCTACAAAATCTCGTTTTCCCAAATAAGTTGTGATCTGTGGAGTAACAGATATTGGCTTTCATTTGTGTCAAGTTGGGAAAAAAAATTAAAGTCACTTGGACTACCGAGTTCAGTCATCTCCTTTCCTAAACTATATACAAATTACAACACTGTGTGAAAGCTTTGGTTTCAAAATCAATGCATTCATTCCATACATTCTTATATGGCATGCATTCTTATAGAAAATGCAGTCTTATTAAGACGATTGGCTTTAGGGGGAAAAGTCTTGAAGTTAACTGAGTTAAGAAATATTACAACTTAATTAATCTCTCTACTCTTTCAAGAGTTATCTGATTGTTAAATCTCCTAAATATCGTGTTACACTGTTAAGAAGAGAGATAATGAGAATTAAATTAAAAGAAATTAATAATTAAATCAGCTACCACATGCACTGTAATCTTCTCAGCAAAATTGAATCGACACAAAATAGCAGTACACCGTTAATATTGTTGTAAAAATATTTGGGATGGCTCAATTATTGGCTCTCAGAAGAATTGCTATTATGATAGCTCACCAGAAGTGCACAATCATCTCTTGGATAAGGAAGTTTTTTTTATTTTTGGAATTTATCAGTTCATTTAGTGAGTTGGTTGCACTATCTGCTACTTTCTTTGGCGGAAACCCTCATGCAAACTCTCTTGGGCATACACAAGCTTAGCAAAGCTTGGGTCCAGGGTACCTCCCTTGTGAGTTTTTTTTTTTTTTTTAATAGTTCTGCACTAGGTTTAACAAAGTGTCTTCAGTTTAAAAGGAGCTCCTCTCCTAAAAGAACAGCTATCAGCAAATTTGAGCAACTTTAAAACCAGTATTTGAAACAGCCATCACTAAAACAAACATAGGCCATTTAATCATTATGAGTGAAATAGCATGCACAATGTAGTAGTAACAGGTTTAAATGTATGAATCAATTCATGTTCAGAATTTCTCTAAGGTTTGTGTGAACTTCTTAGAATGACAGGGATATTTCATCTGAATAATCTGAATAGTCTACAAAACAACATGGTACCAATATGAGCTTGGCTAACCACTTGTTTGCCTTCTAATTTCAAACTTACTGACAGCCTGGGACTCTTATTAGCAAGGCTGTGCTCTAAGAAAAATTGAAGGGAGCTCAGTGCTCTGAAACTGTGAAATCCAGGGTGTCCTGTGTATGCTTTTTATGAAAAAGCTAAGATTCCCGAGTCACCCAAGAGCAAAAGTAAGACACCAGGGGCCACTGGATGCTGCTAGACCACAGCCCTAAATTAGGTACTACTACCCCAATTTGCATAACTCCTTTGATATGCCTTAGCTGGTTGTAGCCCCTAACTACAGCAGTAGTATCTTGGAAGCCAGAATTTTAATTTAGATTTGCCTGAATTTTTTTCAGGCTTCTTTTGTGCTATTTCTTTGTTCCCTTAAAGTGATTAGCATACGATTTATTTTTGTGATATCAACCCTGATCTAACATTAAGATCATCAGAATAAGGAAAATGATCACAAACTAAAGAAGCTTGTGATTGTCAAACAAATTCTCCTTGTAAGCACTATAGGAAATGTGTAAGGAGCAGTAGTGAGAATACACATATTGATCTGAGGGTATAAAGAGTTAGTGCTGGGATAAGTTTTTTCTCCTATGTGGGCAACTTAGCTTGCATCTAGACTCATCAAAGAATATTGCCCATAGGAGAACCTTGGTTCACACTACAGCTGATGATGTTATCATCCACTTAAAGTGGGTGTGGAAAAAGTATCTTAAGCTAAAGGCTAATTGTAACAGAGAAATGCTAAGTCTAAGATACACAGAAGTTCATTTCTAGAATTCCTTGCATCACATTACTTTGTTAAAAGGAAATGTAACTAAATCACACATTTTCCTAAATGTGTACCAACATTTAAAGGGTCTGAGAATATTTTACCTGTCAAAAGATAAAGATTTATAAATATACATTTCTTTCAATGAATCACAAGTTTTTACAAGTAAAAATTTCCAAAAAAAAAAAGGTGAAAAATATTTAATTCAACGAATTTATTCCAATTCCTCTTTAAGAAGAAAAGACTGAATTGTGCAATTTTTCCAAATCACTCCATCTAAACTTGCTTACAATCAAGTATTTCTTTAAATCACTTAGTATAATAAACACAGAAAGTACTGGCCTTCATTTTTAAGATGCACTTCCTGCCCATAGCCATTACCCTCATGCATTCATTAATTCATATGTCTAACGTAATTTATGTTTTATTATCCCCTGCCTTCCTTGTTTTCCAAAAGCATGTTCAATATTAAAAAGCGAAACAGAACAAAGAGTATTTCATATTTCTCAAACTCATATCTACTTCAAAATTACTGCAAAGGCTGAACACAATTAATTTAACATTGCTCAAAATAAAGACGTTTCGCGTCATTGTTGAGCCCTTTTTACTAGAAAATCTTTTAAAACCTCTTTCATATGATAATTTTCAACCAACCTGGACGCCAAGCTTTAAAAGGAAACATCTGCAGAAATCCTCTCCTTCATTATCGTTTAGCGGTAGCTCTTATTTATTCACACTATCTTGTTTTAAATTTGATATGCACACAACTTTATTAGGCCAAGAAGAAAATTATGGAAGATATAAACATAGAGATAATTTCTGGAATTCTATGCGATGTTTACATCGGTTTGGGCCCACAAACGAAACCTCAGACATCTATAAAAGCTACTATCATGTTCACACTGATTTCGTTCAGAATAATCTCATTCCTAACCCAAAACGCGACGTTTTTCGGTGGCTTATTATAGTGACACACCAAAAGCGTGAACATTTGAACCACAAGCCATCAAATATATATACGCATAATAGCATATTTAACGGAGCTAAACACCACTGCGCTATCGTGCAAGGTAAATTTAAAACCCTCCTTGAAGAAAATACTACATCGACTATAATAGGCCGTAATATTTTAAAATGAAGCGTTTCGGGCAATTTAATTTCTGTAAATGGTAATGCAAGGAAAATTAACTGTACCTTGCTGTTCGGGGACGACTTCTTGAATACACTGTAAAAGGAAGATGACTTGTAAGACGAGATCATAAACCGAGTGCACAGATACAAGACACTGTTTTCAACATCATAACGGCATGGAGCAGTTAAATTAGACCGTGTGTACCTACCTAAGTTAACAAGCTATCGAGCGAATCGCAAGGGGAATCGAAATAAAATGCGGCTTAATTGCAAGGAACAAGGAACAAGGCTAACTCACCCTCAACGATGAAAACAAACATATACCATGTAGGAAAAAACACAAATTCTTTCGTGTCTACTAACCGAGTGCCCGCTTTCTTCGCGTCGCTACTCTCCATATCAACCACAGGCAGGCAAGATCATGAAGCAAATGTTCGACTTCGATCGTCAACGCCTTCAAAGTAGGAAAAAATGGAGCGGCCAGCTGAAAAATCAGCTCTTAGTAGGGCGCACACAAATACCCTGACCCGAACAGCTCGAACGAAGTTCGGCAAGACACGTCTCTCTGCGAGAAAGTTATGGCGTGTTAAGGATAATTGAAGATGATTCACACTGATGTGACTAACAGAAGTCAGAATACTACAAAAAATCCGTCCCTCATCGGTGTTAAGCGAGTACTTCAATACCCAAAACCCTCTTGGTAGCTTCGATTTAGCGCACCCTTTTCCACAGAACCAATGCATGGGCATGCGCAATGGCTACAGCAGTATTGTGTGATGTCACAAGAGTCAATTCCTCGATAAAAGAGCTGAACAGGTGCAAGGAAGCGGCTAATTTTGGTGAATAATTTAAAACTTTTCCCCTAATTTTGCCTGAAATCCTACTATGATTCTACATCGAGGGTTCTTTATCTCATGAATGGATCTAAATGACCAAATTAGATGCTCTGCGTAGAGTAAATCTTTGGAAAGACTTCAATTCAGACGAATAAAAGTTTTACGCGCTCCGAGTTTTGTTTTTAATTAAAACCAGAATTCACCGCCGAACGAGTTGTAGACGAGGCCATTTTAATGGTCCTTAATTATCCAAAGGTTGTTCTTTACAATGTAAACTACTTTTGAAAACTTCCATCATTGTTTTGGCTGACCATTTTGACGAAAAAAAAATATATATTCGAAATATTGGATAAACCTTTGACTAAACGCCGTGCGGTTGCCATTGATATATCAGCATCAAATTTACATCATATAAGAACGGTGATTGAGAGCTCTCGAAAACGCTCTTATCGCGCAAAGATCTCACTGAAACAACCACACCGACGTTAAACAGAGCAAATATAATGAATCTGCATTAGCAAAGATAAATTCACACCGCTAATTTTGTCGGCTCTGGCATCCGTTTAAGAGCGGAGTACACCGCATGCACCTCAGGCACCGCTTATGCGTGAATTTGCTAAAATGCTGAGAATTTCTCTCATCGACTGTAGATCGCATCTTAACATTATTTTTTAATCCTTCATTATTTTTTTCTTTGAAACAAAATTTATTTGGGTACACGAATATTAAAAGGACGGCGATAACTCGACTTTACAAAGTTAATTAGCGCTGGCAGTTCAGTGCAGTTCAGTTGGAGGTGGTGCTATTATGTTTACATTTGCAAAAACTCTAACCATATTGCTTATTTGATGGGTCCTAAAGGTACGAATAGAGCATTAGAGCAATTATATATTGTCGTTTCAGCTTTCTAGTGCGTTTAATCCATCAATATTCCAGTGATGTCAGTGCAAACACGTTTCTATCAATTCAAGTTTCGAGGAGATCGTTTGTTTATCTTTACCTGCACACCTTTTCTTACAAGAATTAAGAATGAATGTTTTCAGAAGATGCCATTATTGATAGGCAAAGCCGATGGTTAAAATGAATAAGATCCTGGCAAAATGGATAAACATTTTCAGTCGCTGAAGGCAGCGAGAGCAGGGTTTCACGAATTCCTAAAGTTTATTTTTAATGCTTAGATACTCGGCAGACCTTTACGGTGGCCAATTTACAATTTCAACTTTTAGTTGATATACCAAATTACTTTTCTAGCTGCATTAATCAAAAAAATAAAATGAATTTGCAAGTAGTTGAGAGAAAGGGAGGAAAAAATACTAAACAAATATTGTAAATATTACCAATTTAAATCGTAGTAATTGGAAACATACGATATCAGTTACCCTGTGAATCTCCAGATGTCCTATCTCCAATTTGAAACGGAAATTTGCATTATGATTGCTTTTTTCAAATACAGGAGAAAGCTCATCCTTGCTTAACGGTAGTGAAGTATTAAAAAAAGCTCTTAGAATTCAACAGGAGTCTAACAGATGGGGATTTTTTTTTTCTAACTCAGTAAAATTCACCAGAGTAATTTATGACAGACTAGTTGCTACATTAAATTGCGTTAAGTTTGTAGGAACAAAAAAATGTCGCCGAATATTGATGATGTCGATGGAATATGAAAAAAAATGTATTCACGGGATCCTTTAAATTTCAGGATATTTATATTTTTGATCAAGTTTCAGTTGCTACCTTTAGAAAGATTGGTGAATATCTTTCATTTCTTTTTCTTTTTTAGTCTGAAATACGTGACTTTAGCCGTTTAACCCCAGAACGGCGATAAAACAGAGGAAATAGTTAAATCTTGGGACTTGAAGTGAATGAAAACATTGTTTCGTGCCCTCAATGAAAACAAAAAGAAGGCAAAAATAAAAGTGCAATTAACTAAGGAAGAGAAATAAATGTTAAATTAGACACCCAAGAGTTACAAATTTAGATTTGTGTTAAATAATTTCCTTTCTCCTACCGACTCAAGTTGTTGAGAATTAAAATTTGATGGAATCGCAGCAAACTACCTTATTCAGTCTTGCTCAGAAAAACCGATCATATATTGATTGCAATTGTCTTTCTACTGCTCAAGTGCGAGTATTATTGGTTTCTTGAAAAATTCTCCTTTTCCTCAATTGTTTTCCACTAAGCCTTCGCCACTCGTCTCAGTACTTCCAGAACATCGACCTCTAAGCGGCAAGAGAGGAAACTGAAAACGAGAATCGGTTCGGGCATGAACTTGGGCGGAACAGAAACTTGGTCAGGCGAACCGATTGTGTTTTCAGTCTGCTAAACAAGATTGCAGTCACGGATGAGAATTTTTCGGCTGGGTGGTAATGATAGACTTGCAGGACTTTCGACCATCGAACGGCCACGAGCTTGAGCGTTACACTGTTGTCCTAAAAGCCCTGTGTTACGCGGATCGAATTATTCTTACTGAATCTGTCACGCAATCCAAGACTTTTCTAGAATTACCTATAATCTGTAATATTCCAGAAACTTCTTTCATGTGACTTAGCAGTTTCCAAAAATAGTACAATTTGTAATACGCTATAAATAGTAATAGAACATTCTAGATAACTAGAGTAAATGTATAAAAGCTGGCTTGTGAGAAGTACAAAAGAGATTTGCCCGAGGGCTTACCCTCGTGGCTTGCTGACTGAACTAGTGGAAGCTATGATGTGACGAGGCTATGACCTTTTGACCTTGCGATATCCGGAGAGAAGAAAGAGAAGAAAAATACGAAAGCCGAGAGAGGAAGGAGATAAAGAATTTAGAGTTCACTATGAAGTCCTCCGGAAGAATTTGTGTACACGGAAAGAAAGCCATGAATCAAGAAAGCCAAGCGCTGTGGTCTTCAGTCGGCGGATGTTGGAATTGGGAGTTGATCAAGACGACCGTGAACACTTACACGGCATGAAGGATTGTAAGCCTGCTTTATGAACTGCTTAACTTAATCCCTGCGACTAGTCCGTGCTACTAGTCCCGGCGACAAGTCTTTGAAGGGTTTACACGATGGGACCGGTAGCGGAACTAGTCCCTTAAGGCGTTCACACGAGGGCACTCAATTGCACAAGAACATAGGAAAATTAAGAGGCAAAAGATGTTTCTTAGTCTGGGGCGTTAAACGAAAACAATGAAAATTTGGTAACTTTTCATTGAAGCGCTATTAAACATCAACGCAAATGGACTTCACTTATTCAGTCGGATTTTTCATGCTTTTATGTGTTCCGTTTTTGTTTTTTATTTTTAACAGATACAGAGTCAAATAGGGTAAAAATTCCATCAAAATGGCTCCAAGACATCTGTATATGTTTACAAAACTAGAAATAGTTTTTTATTCTTCAATTGTAGAAATCTAGAATTCAGGAAAAATTCATAGAAACTGCAATGTTTACAAATACCGGAAGTCACGCATCCTACTGACCCGTGATTGGCTTATTTACCGTTTAGTCGCAGGGACTGTGGCACAAACAGTTCACACGAAGGGACAAACATTTGTTCCATGCGACAAGTCCCTGAGGCTGGTCGCACGAATTCAAACCAGTTTGAATTCATGCGACCAGTCACAGGGACCAAATTTTGGTCCCTGCGACCACAGAAATGTGTAGTTCACACGAAGGGACTAGTCGCATGAAACTGGTCGCTGGGACTAGTCGCAGGGACTCGTCCCTTCCTGTGTGCCGACCTTTACTCTTGCGTGTTAACAGCAAGAAGCGTGATTTTCTGCGGCATTTACGCGATTGTAACATTCGTTTTTATCCAGGCCTTCACCTTTTTCTGTAGAATTTTTACAGGTGTAGCACCATTGCAATGACAATCTCATAAACGTCTTCCCCGTCAAGATAAAATTCTGAAATATTTGCTGGAAGATTTCAAGAGAGAATTCCAGACAAATAGTACACAGTCAAGCAACATATAGAATTCACGATATGTAGAATAGTTTTATTTACATGAATCGTGCCTAACGCATGTACTTTTGAGGACGGTAGTGAACTAAAGTGCAAAATCTATTAAATCTCTCCCCACAAGAGATTGTCATTAACTCGGCAAATCAAACTATGAAAGTCACTTTAGCCATCGAAGATGGAATGACCAAATTAGTTTTTTTTTTTACTCCGTTAGGTAGTCTATGAAATTCTAACATTTAAAATTGTGTTTAAATGCTCTAGGAAGCCTCTTCGGTAGCGTTTGAGGGTTGCGGCGAGGGGTGAGAGGGAGACGAATGTGTCCGAGACCTGGCCGAACTTGGACGAGAGGAGCCACGCGTCTTTGGTGACCCTGCTCTTGAGGATTGTTCAGATTTAGGGCTGACCGTTCGAGATGGCTGTTTAGAGCTTCCAACGTCTGATTTCTGTGATTTTGCAGACACTGGTCTCGAAGGCGAAGATTTGGCAGAGGAAGGTCGAGATGACGGCTTTTGACCCGAAGGCGGTCGGGATGACGCTCGTTGCCCCGAAGGTGGCCTTTCGGGTTCCACCGGTTTGTCAGGTTGCTTCTCTGGCTGTTTCGCTTCCATCGCGGGTTCTGGGTGTGGATGTTGTTCCATAACACATTCTGTTTCGCCATGGATAATCCTGTGAGCCGCAAGAAGATGTTTCCTTTGGCTTCTCTTCACTACGAGTTCAACCAGACAAAACTGTCAATTACTAGCGTTCTATCAACATGCTAAAGCCTGATTAGCAACGATTTTCGCTATCTATTTAACAAATGGATTTCAAGTTAACGTGTGTCCGTTCTGTAAGAGATCAATTATGACGTCAAAATGTGTCAGCGGATTGAGACTTCGTGAGATGCGCCAAGTAAGAACAAAAAAGTGGCACACGAGGCACAGTCCGAGTGCATTAATGGTGTCCCTTCCACATTTTGACGTCTTCTGCAAACG